CATAAAGGGCCCTGGTCTTCATGGCATATTTAAATTCGGGTTCAACCTTCTTCACTTCCATTGATACACCATTAGGCCTTTCCTAGAGCATGAAGCCCAGTGTACCTCAAGTCATAATGTAACGTTAACTTAATGACTGTATATATGTATCAGCATATCCCAATGCGTCTGTTTTTGTGTACATACGTGATAGTGGATCGAGACACCCTGATAACACGTCAGCAGTTATGTTAACCGTAATATATTTTCCCATTCATTTACACCAAAATAATAATAATAATAATAATAATAATAATAATAATAATAATAATACCTTGTAATTCATAACTGTAGTCTGTACAGCCAAACCACTGAGCATTACATATACTCTATCGCTATTTTGGTATGACAGTATTAGGTAGTAACTTTTTCCAAATATAATTATAGAAAACACAAATTTGGTCTTTTATGTCATTCTGAACTGGCAAGTCCAGTACAGTACTGATCTTGTTACAAGAGACAATCCCTGTACTGTACTTCTCTTTAGCCTGTTTAAAAATATTAAAAATACAGCTACAATAAACTCCTTCAGATGACATTAATCTTTGTGTGAGTTTTTCCAGCTGTTCTGTTATTAGGTTAGGTTAGGTTAGGTTAGGTTAGGTTAGGTTTGGTTTGGTTAGGTTATTTGGTTTGGTTTGGTTAGGATGAGTTTGGTTTGGTTTAGAGTGGTTTGGTCTGGTTTGGTTAGGATGAGTTTGGTTTGGTTTAGAGTGGTTTGGTTAGGATGAGTTTGGTTTGGTTAGGTCTACTCTCAATTTTGATCTTTAACTCACTCCACACCAGGTAAATGCTAACTTAATAACGGTTAATTTTCTTTTAAAGCAACTGAAGTGAAATACCGTACATGTAATTAACCTACATTATGGAATGCTCACTCCACCTTTTATCTACACACGTCAACATTAAGCTTCCCAATCACAGACGTCAAGAGTGAACGAACAGGAAATTAAGAACTCGGACAATGTTACAGTAATTAATTGATGGGAATAAGAGTTATAACATACCTGTATATATTTTGAATTAAGCCCTTTGGGGGAAAAAATAAATTAAATTACAGTATATGAAATAGAAGATGACTGAATGGTACAGAATTATGACAATACATTAGGAGGGAGGAAAGGAAGAGGCAGGCTTTAAAATAAGAAAGTTCGAGCCATTAACCCCTTCACTACAGGGACGCCACTTGTGATATTTTATTTGGCTAATGTCAGATGATTTTATTCAGCTCAGAGGCGACCCTGTACATAAGGGGTTAACCAGGTTGTGAGTTTAATACAGTAATAACAGTGGTGTATGATGGGGGGGGGGGAGCACGATATAGTGATACAAGTGGAAAGAATTGCATCTGGAAGGAGAAAAGTTAATGAAGGAGTTAACATCACACTCATTAATAAATTAAGAAAGTATAACTTATATGTATTGAGCATCTAAGTCATGTAGGAGTCCTGGGTCATTTCATCTCAACATTCATCGAACATTAAAGAATATGCTACGTTTATCTTGATTTCTCTTTTCTTAATACAATACATCACATTCCTCTTCCTTCTTATCAAAGTTGGTTCACCTGTGTTATCTTCTGAAGCCAACAATCTAAACATAACCCACAACTGCTCTTTACTGTATCACCACATCACAAATTACTAACAAAAAATTATATATATATTTGTGCAGAAAGATTACTTTAGCTAAATCACCAATAAATATCTCTTATGAATATTGGGATAATGTATATCTAATAAATCATATTCCAGGGAAGAACACCACACTACCACACTATAATAGAATTAATCTACGATACTGTACCACTTAAAGTCCATGCATCTCTAAACCTACGCAAATTGATATAAAAATGTGACTTTCTCTGCTTACTTCTATCTCTGTTCACGATCTTCATGCCTTTCAAAATACGCATTATTCATTTTCAGAAACAGCGCTGCTACTGCTACTGCTACTACTACTACTACTACTACTACTACTACTATTACTCTGCCTTGTGGTGAAGAGATGCCTACAACTCACCTTTTTCTCCTCCACAAACTTAAATTTAACTTTTTTAATTTTATTACAGATTAATCCTATACTTTATCTTCCTTCCTCTACATTTTAATCACTTGATTTCTTCTTTATCTGCCACAAGTTTAAAAAAAAATTGTAATTGCTTTAAACTTGTCTTCATTCATGCCCATATACTGTACCTATCTCAAATTACACACTCCAGCATAACACTTGATTCAAACTCCTTGTATTCCATAACCCTTCTCCCTTCCTCTCATCTTCCATTGCTTAAATTTGGGGAAGGAAAACTCCCTTGTTTTATGTTATGCCTTCCCCTGCCACATAAGCTCGTACAACTCTCTTCATCAATCAATTACCTGACTCAGCCTTATCTCTTCTAGAACATAATGTTGCTGCTACCAATTGAATCTTCCTATTACTTACACACACACACACACACAAAACCATACAGGTTCTAAAATCAAAAGTGTATAATCTGTCATCATACAAATACTACTAGTAAATACAACTAAGAAATTCTGAAAATTGTCATAAATATAATATAGTTAATCAGACCCCAAAACATTTATTATAAAGAAAAAATAAACTCGCTGTAAGCCTTCATATATACATATGGCTACTCTGACTAGAACTTGTTTCTAATTTGAACTATAAGAAAATATAATACTTGACTAAAGTAGCAATCCTATACTGTACTGTAGTTCATATTACTGTATCATAATATGGGTAACATAACACTATGTGAGCCAGTGAACATTTCCTGTAAACACCAACAGGCAACACAACAACTAAGTACTTTATTGAGAGAAAAAAAAAGATAGCATGTGAAATAGATTTTAAATTAGATTATTCATTAAGGCACCCTTAGTAGTACAGGGGTATACAAAAGTAAACGGTCAAATGCTACTTTACCCTACAGTATTTGGTGCACTGCCTCTACACGTCATAAAATAAGAACAATTTATCGATATACTATGTACAGTATATAGAATATAAAAAGAACAAAAACAATCAAAACAATGGAATTACCTACTGTACAGTGAACCTGCCGTGGGTGGGTCATGTAGAATCATGGCCAAATATTTGGTAACTGAATACTGTGTATATCAAAGAGGCTAAAACCCAACACAAATATTCCCGCTAATCTGCCAAAGAATAAAGATTTTATGTGTGGCAATACTGTACACTAAAACACAAACTTATTAAAAAAACACAAAGTTAAATCACTAATGTAGCTGTGACACGCAGTCACACAGGGCAGACACCTCCTCCCGCAGCAACAGTGATTTTCTCTCATATTTTTTCTGCCAGGTGTGTGTTTGTCTTTGTACTGATGATGCATAAACATCATCATTCTACAAGTATTACAAAATAAATCTAAATAAACTTGCAAAAACACACCAAGAATGAGAACACTATCTTGGAAAATATTTACAAGTGAGACCTTTATTCTACTTAAACTAAGTATAGTAAGTTATGAAAGACTCAAAAAAATATCTACAGTATTATATCTTTGATTAATTCAGCCAGAATATATGAAGAAATAAAGATAAACATGTTAGTTGGGGAGTGATGTAAGAAGAGGAGCATCAGTGTTGGTTCATGACAAGAGAACGTCACTAAAGAAGGCAGAGTTTTGATGCATCACTCTCCTGGCTGACTGACCATCACAATCACAAAGAAACAAAGGTGAACTACCACCACACTAACAAGTGATCTCTCAACCTAACAACATAATGAAGCAAGAAAAAATATACTGAATAAATTGAGAATTAAAGCTAAATAATGGCAACACAAACTGATGTATCAAGAACACTTTCTTAGTCCTACATCATTGCACTAATATAATATATATATATATATATATATATATATATATATATACTGTATATATATATATATATATATATATATATATATATATATATATATATATATATATATATATATATATATATATATATATATATATATATATATATATATATATATATATATATATATATATATATATATATAAAGAACAAACCTAAAGAAAATTCTTATGTTCATTAAGACAGTACTGTACTGTACTAGGTCTAACACTCACAATGTTACCATTTTCTTCTACATACTGTATACAAGTACAGTACTGTATTATCACTAGTCTGACAAACTACCCCATGACATATACCATCTGGTTAATGACAATGTAAAGTAGAGCTATATCATGGTAATGTAGCATATCTTGGATATGTCACATGTCCTCATTCTATTACTGGTATAGTACATAATTGTTTTCACTTAACCTTACCATATCCTGGTTATGTCACTGTCACAGCACATCAACCAATAAGTTCAATGAACATAAAAAACAAAATCAATAAGTATTAATTCTTGACAGAGAAATATTGCTCAAGAAACAAGCCATGAACTTGTAACTTTGTGGTGCAGGAGCAACACACACTTATTGTTCAACAAGAGTTAGACAACATTTTTGTGTAAGAACTTGTAACACAAACTAAATCATTGGAGTGGTGGAGCTTGAGGAATGTGCCACAGAAATTGGACTAAAGTTAAGACAATGATATGATCACACAAAGCTCTCCCCACACAGTACACACCACAAGCCCCCCTCCACCTGCATAGCAATTCTCTCCCTATAGTTGTCAAATTTTCAACTAAACTTGTGAAAAATGACATAATATTGAAAATAAAATATGAGCTTAGTGTAGATTCACTTCCCTATATTTACCATTTATGATAAAGGAAGATGCAAATATTATATATACTGTGTATATATATATATATATATATATATATATATATATATATATATATATATATATATATATATATATATATATATATATATATATATATATATATATATATATATATATATATATATATATATATATATATATATATATAAGGAAAATGTATAAATTACTTAGAATAAGTTTTTTTTTTTTCAACCTGATCTACCATGAATAAGTCACACTGTTATTTACAACACTGTTTAAGTCTTTGGGCAGTGTCATCTTGGTCAGTTATATTACCTTCAATGAATAATTAAGACTAGTAAAGTTAAAATAATCTTGGTTTTAACTGGCCATGTCCAACTAAGAGAATACTTGGGCATGAGATCATAATGTAACTTTGTTTTAGTACTTGCTGAGTATAAAACTTTAGCTACGGCAAATTTTCCAGTTATATTTATGTATTTCACCCCGAGAGTGGTTGATGATGTAGAGTGTAGCATGCTAAGAGTACAACCATCAGAGACAAGATAGACCATATGACGTGAACTTCAAGAATGACCTGATCATCCGGCTCCATCTCATGCAGCCAGTTCAGGTCGTGCAGTGATTCAAGCGTCAAGTCGTGAGCCGGAACAGTTGCCAGACGGCGTGTTGGGCTTTGAAGAATAGGGGGATGGTGAGTAGGAGTGTCTCTGGGATTAGTATAAGGCCGAAGCTGTAGAACAGGACTCAAAGGTGGAGAGAGTGAGGTGTGATCGGGAAAGTTATCTGGCATTTCATCAGCGAAGGTGAGGCTCCTGAGAGTGGGTCGTTCGGGTTTTGGCGAACTGCAGCTTGGTAAACGTGGCCGAACCGAAGGACCGGGCTGTGGTTCAGCTGCAGGATCCTCGGCATCCTCCCAACCGTCATCACAATAAAGAGCAACACAGAGATTTTCTGAAGCTGAAGCATGTCGTTTGGGGAGTGGACTCCAGTTAAGATCTGAACTGGTGGGATGTGGTGGGCTCAGAGTGGCAGCAGATGCACTTAACTTAGAGCTCTTATTTTTGGTGGTCTGCTTCCCCTTCGGTTGTGCCATCTGATAAGACAGCTGGTTGCTCTGACCCCTGGAGACATACTGAACCCCATTTTGTGCATGAAAGTCTAAATGATTTTCTGCTCTGGCTCGTGCAACAACACTGCCTTGTACCCTGGAGTGAGACACGTAACTGCACTCGCCCGACACCTGCGTCACATGGTTGCTAGCATAGTGCATCATTCTCTGTTCACCTTCAGACTGGCTCACTAAAAAAGATCCAAACCAGTTAGAAAGCCGGTTGACCTCACTTATAAATGTCGCACCATGTCGCAATCCTTCTCTAGCTGAAGGTCAGCACGTGGCAGAAGGTCATTGGAGGTCATGCGTGTCATAGAAAAGATGTGACACATCGAGCGTAGTGGCCAAGTCTAGAATTATGGCATAGAGGCTAGGATGATCCAGAACTTCACCTTCCGGTAAGTTGGGATGACATCGGGGATAGAACTGCCGGCCCTGAAAATACAAATTCCATCAGTTGTCACAATTTAGCTAAAAACACAAATGGTTTTATTGTCAACGACAGGATTTATATTTCCTACCTTGCTCATTATTCATTAGTAAGATGGATTGAATTTTAATATAAAATAAAATACAGTACAGTACATTACAGTACATTACAGTGCAGTGCAGTGCAGTACAGTACAGTACAGTACAGTACAGTACAGTACAGTACAGTACAGTACAGTACAGTACAGTAAAGTAAAGTAAAGTACAGTAAAGTAATACTTTATACAGTATTGTATATGCATTTATCAACCTTATTAATTCCCTTCCACACAGGGTACAACATATGCACCAAGCCTCAACTGGAAGATAAAATATTATTCAATAATTGAATGCATAATTAAACAAATTTTGGAGAGAAAGTGAACTACAATAAAACTAAATCCATTTGTATCGCTAAGTCATTACTGTATATATAACTAACTAAGTAAATGAAAGGACTTCCACATTATTTGTTCATCTTTTCACTTTGCTAAATTGATTCATACAGTATATGCAACAGATGTGCCACTTATTAAGTGTCAGATTCACCATTTTCTCCCCCAACATGGACACAATCAACAACTACAAGTGTGCAGTGTTGAAGAGATAACATCCTGATACAGTGATCATTATTTACAAAGATACACAAAGAGGTGGTCCATGTGAGAGGTGGCCAGGTGGGTAAATGACTGTACACATAGCTCAGGGATGTAAATTCACCATTTTTATCAAGTCAACGGCTGTCTATACTCGATGTTCATGTTAACCATAAGCCAACCATATGACAGAAATACAGTAAGTGTCAATCTAAATATAACTTCAGTCATCACAAACAAGCAGTCATCATTTTATGGCAGTCTAGTGTGTGTGTCTGTGGTAAGAACACTGCAGCAGGCCAAGGTACATGTAATGCACTAGTGCCACAGTATAATGGTCCCCACGTTACAGTGATGTATCATTCATTCAAGAAATATAAAACAATATAAATATGTCAAATACAATCACTGTTCCAGCAAAATATGGACTACTGTAATGCAATTTCTCAAAGCAATAATACCCAGCAAATAAATTAGGTCATTCACGTGCCTGGAGGAAATTGAAGAGAATTTTTTTTTTTTTAGAGGGGAAAGGAAGGAGTTGAATGAATACAGGAAACTGGCAGAGAGAGAGAGAGAGAGAGAGAGAGAGAGAGAGAGAGAGAGATGAGAAGATAATGAGAGACAGTGTAGATAGGAATGAGAGATAATTGAAGTCTATAAGTATAACAACCATTTTGTTTTGCCTCTGCCCCAGCCGTCACGTGACCCTCACCAGCCATATAATATTTTCCCCCATTTACAGTGCCGGGTTAATAACGGCAACATGAGCAATATTTACATGTCACCGTTTAATATTTAACAACTCCAAAGTGACAGTCAATAATGAAAAAGTCGGAATCTCTGTCTAGCAATTGAGTTTTATCAGTCACTGGTTTCTGGAAAATTTGTAAACCTAACCTAACTAATCCTAACAGAGCCAAACTACCTAACAGAGCCAAACTAAGCTAACATAACCTAACCTAACATAGCTAAACTAACTTGCACTGTCATCTGGCAGGCTGTACATTTAACTCATGAGTCTTGACCTATCTTACTCCTCTTGATGATTGAACACAGGGGTCTGAGTTTGTACTCAGCACACAAGGGATTAATTCTAAGTTGAATAATTGTGGCTCAGGTTTGCCTTAAAATGAACATAGACACAACTTGTAGTTCATGAATACTACCGCTCTATTAACTACCGCTGACAAAAATAGTGATCATGGAGGAGAAATAGGCACAAAACTCTCCTCAGCAATTATCAAAACATAAATTATACAGTGGAGAGATGAGAACAAAACCCCAAGATGTAGGTGAGAGTTTAAACCATCTTCCCGCAGTGATGAAGCATTAAAGGATCATAGTGTCCTTGACTCCACAAATAGCTGATCAAGTTAGCTGTTTGATAAATAAGACTTGATATTTGTGGGGAGAAGGAGTAAAGCTAAAAAAAAAAAATCATGGAGTCAGGGGAAAGAAGCAGTGTACAGCAAGAAAGTGTAAAGATTAGCTATAGGAAGGTGTCTAATCTGTCTTACTATGTATAAACAAAGCCTAAAGGTCCCACACTCTCCAGAACAAGAACCTCAATAACCCCAGCCATTGTGTTGTAAGAAGCTGAAAACCACAACTACCACACACAAGGAATACAAAACCACTTTTGACATTTTTCCTTCACGTCTTAGATGGCAGAGACGGGCAAATATCTTAGCGAAAAGATTGGAGCTGGAAAACAGAGGTAAACTTTGAATTAGGAATAAAAACCATGAGAATAGATGGGAGACAATACTGCTAATTATTAATGTGAGGTTGAAGATTAAGGGGAAGATATCCAAATGGAGATGCCAGGTACAAGTGACCACAGAAGACAAACACCTTATGATAAACTAACAAAACCTTTATCATGTCTATAGCAGCCCAAACACTACACAACCCTACACAACCATATGCATCTATCTATCAACAACTACACAGACAATAGAAAGATAAGAGTGAAGAAATATACATGTGAGACCATCAACATTGGGATACTGTTTCAGAAGCAAACCGTAAAAGGTATCGATTTTTCCAGTCCTTCAACAGTGGGGCGGATTAGAGTACTGTATATAAAAATCTCAAGAAAGGGAGAAGATGGTAAGAAAAAAGAGAATAAAAAAAAGAAAGAATTAATAAGTGTCAGGAAAGATTGGAATCACAATGTACAAACTCTTCACACTCGCTCCTCACAATCCTAGAGTAAAAATGTAAATGGGGAGAAAAAAAAGGGGGGGACTTTTCCCCATTACACGAGTACTGTACTGTACATCCAGGACGGACGGACGGACACACGCACGCACGCACGCACGCACGCACGCACGCACGCACGCACGCACACACACACATATGCACGCACATTGTATTAAAACTCCCAGAATGGCCCTAAGGAACTTTGCAATTGCTCGATGAGCATTCCACAGAGTTGCCACATCTCACAAAACATGCCAACCACTGTACCAGGTATAAGTGCAGGTGACTGTACTGTACTTCTACACATATGTTCCCTCACTTTACTCTCATCTTAGGACTAACCAAAGTATATATTTTTTACTTCCATAACTACATTTCCAAATCCCACACTGTTTGAATGGTTCAGAACTACCGGTATCCACCTGATTCACAAATCTGATCTGTCATCAAGACCTTCATTCACTCATCCATTATCAAACATAACAACAACAATAATAACCAACACTTCAGGCTGGTTAATCCATGTCATATCAAAATCACTTTCCCATAAATCAATAATACTGTATGGTGACACATTAACTCTACAATACACAATACAAAGCCTTTCAGAGGTTGTCCTGTCGCCCGCAAAAGTCCTCCTGAATCATGAACCCCAAGATACAGACTCATGAATCCAAAGCATTTATGGGCAGAATAATGCATCAGTGTCTATTGCTTTGAGTCTATGATTGAGTCTCAGAGTTTGTGGTTCTTGAGGAGAGGTGACAGGACTTTTGTGGGCGACTGTATATTATCTTTTTCCCAATCATCCACATGAGAGAGCAGTAGGAAATACAGTATTGTAAGTATAAACTATGTTAAGTGAAATAATACAGTGTTGTGAGAGTTATGAGTATGGTCGTAATAGCCTTTGATCCACCCCACATCAAGAGTGACAAGGAAGGAAGATAACTGACAGACAGACAGATAATAGAAAGATAACAAACATACAGAAAGAAATAAGTTTTGGGGGTGAAAAGATTATGATTTATTATAATGGTGATGAAGGTAAGGGCTGTAGAACGATATGTAAAGACTCTTTGATTAAGACTTAAATTATAATCCCGTAAAACTGTACAATATATCAATGTATTATGCCAAGAGGAATAATGAGGCACAGTGTACAACATAGTGAACACCAATAAAATCTAGCAGAAGGAGCGGACACAAACAGGAGCCATGGTACTACTTGTGAATCAATTTAATAGGCAAAGTGAATTGTTATGGAGCGTTCAAACAATGTGGAAATCTATGTATATTCACTCGTTTCATTTTTTTGTAAAAGTTGAGGTTGAATTTTAATTTTTGTTTCTTGTGACTCCAGCGGACACAGCTGTCCCCAAAACCTGATACAAGAACCACCTGATTACAGATTAACTTGTTATATAAGTTGTCCCTATTAACCATATATGAGTAACAGGTGTCAAGTCTTCAAAACAATAAACTAACTGCAGTACCTGGAATTAGTTGTGGACATATAAATCACAGTATGACTGATACTAATATTTAACTATGGGGATAAAAGCTACAGTGCCACCAGGGAGCTGAGACAGGATCTGGGATACACTTTATGTCTAGGCATGCTGATAAAACCAACTAAAGAACAATCATTAAAAGACAAACATTTTCAACACCTTCATACTAAAGCCTTAGAATGATCAACCTTGTACAGTACTGACACACTAGGTGGAGAAGTAACATGCTATATACACACATGAACTATATAGGCCATTGAACACTGTACACAAATTCACAGCATCAATACTGACTGATGAAGATTGGGGGAGGTGTTGCCCCACTGCCTGTGAGAGGGGACAAAAAATCAAATACAGTATACTGGTAACCTCTTATCTTTTTGTTTTAACACAGTACATAAAAGCTCATATACAGTATACTGTACTGTACTGTACTGTACTGGAAGAAGCAGGATGAGACCTGGATTATTGGTCTCTGAAAAATATTTATTGCTAGTTGATTTGTTAAGTATACAGGGTCCTTATGTCTGGGAAAACAAATCACCGATACCTCAAAATATTTTTAATTACTGTACTTTGAGTGTTACTTGTCTGTCTCCCCCTACCTTTGAATGACAATAAATGCCCATGGTTTTGGACATAAGAAATG